GTAAGTCAGTCTATCAATAGGTCTGCTAACGTGAAATTGGTGGTGGTGGTTGGAATTGGATGGAAACGTTTAAACGCGTTAGCTGATTCAATCAATCTATATTTTACCTTTAGCAGCCACTGGAATTGTCGTTAGGTTGTCCTTCATTGTCAAAACCTCAGGGCACTTATCTTCTATCTTTTGCACGAGAAAGTTTAACAGAGTTGATTTGTTGTCAGTAGTTTTTGTGCTGTTCAGCTGTAAATAGAACAAATTAAAGTTATACTCAATAGTCTTCTTCACGGTTCCCTGCGTCATCTTGAAATGTAGTCGTGCCTTTGCATCGAAGCGAGACGACCGTTGAGCGTGCAAAGATAGAAACCTTCTTTCACACCCACAGACAATTATTTACAGGTATCTATCATTGCACGCTCAACGGTTGTCTCGCTTCGATGTAAAGGCACGGCTACCTTTCAAGATGGCGCACGTAACCGTGAAGGAGACTATTGATGGAACAAAGGCTCTCTTACTATTATCAGCAGCATGTCAACACTACCCGATGATACAGTGATATCAGTTACTATCACCTCCCAGCACCTTAAAGATCTCTCAAACGATAGCTTGAAGATGTTGGTTAGGAGAACACGAGAAAAGATTTCCCAACCATCCCAACTGGTTTATTTTTTCTAGTAAACCCCTTCAAGCTATCGTTTTATTTGCTTTTATATTATAGCCGGCGTCCGCCATTTAGACTCAAAAGTCTTTCAAGATAGCAAGCTCGTTTTAAACGGGTTGGAAAGTAAAATTTGATATAGAAATCGAAGAGTTGGGAGAATGTGGCATGAGTTTTTACTGAACATGCCAAAATTGGTCGAAAAGCGCATTATAAACAGGATTGTGATCGATCCCGCAATTTATAATGTTTTTGGCATGATAAAATTACAGAMGTCGTGTATCACWTTAAATTTTATTGCAGGGGCATTAATTTTTTAAGGTCATGCCTGCCGGAATGTCAGATTTAACTCCTTTCGTAATCTCGAAGCTTTGTGATCATTTTCATTCCTGGTAATAAGTTTCCATGATGCCTTGCGGTCATTTTCATGCTGGGCATGAAATCCCATAAAGCGTTGCAACCGTTTTCATGCTGGGCATGAAATCCCATAAAGCGTTGCGACCGTTTTCATGCTGGGCATGAAATCCCATGATGCCTTGTGGCCATTTTCATGCTGGGCATGAAATTCCATAAAGCGTTGCAACAAACGCGGCAGAGGCGCTAAAAGACAAGCTGTAATCTGATTCTTCTCAATATTTTAATATTCTTGATATACTTTAAATAAGAAATATCATAGATGCTAAAAAATGATTTGAATTGACGGATAACATATGATGTAATTCCCAAGTTTTCTCTGAGGCTGTTGCAATAGTTGACATTCTGGACAATTTCCACTGAAAAAACAATGAAAGGATAATAAGAACTAAGAACTACTTACAGTACTTACATGACAGTTGACTCAGATTATTGCTTGTTATATTTCACTAAAAATTACCAACATGTTATGACAAAAAATGTTTGGGACTAGAAATATGGAAAAGTCCTGAAGGGATACTTAAATGTGAGTTTCTTGTTTACAAGCACAATTATGCTGTTCTTTATAACAAGAAGGCATGCTATAATTTTCTCATTTTGACTCTTMACTGTTCAAAARGTACACATMTTAATTTTATCACATTTAAAATTTGAGGATTAAAACTCTTGTATTCAGTACTGAAATGATGAACATTGCCATTATACATACTTAATTCTTAGACCTCTTTTTTAATTTTCAATCTCTTGATCTGACAAAGTGTAAAAAGTACCTCTGTAGATGAACCATGGGGCTGTCATATTCTGTCAAATAAAATAGATGAAATCTATTATTACTTGAAAGGGCTAATTGTTGATTCCCAATTTCATTGTAATCTCTATTTTTATGGCTTATGTCATGTGTAAAAAAAAAGCAACAACAACAACAACAACAACGAACAAACAGAGAGAGTTGATTTGCTGTGTGTGCATCATGCAAATGATTCATCTATTCTTGTGTTCAGCCAATTTTTGATTGCTGTTTTTGTAGATGGTGATCACTTTAGTCATGATGAATTGACGAAAGAAAATCTAAACATTTTCTTYATTGCCTTTAACATTGATTGTCAATGAAAGCAACATTTAATCTTTCAAAAATATTTAACTTACAGTTGTTATAAAGAAAACTTACTTTGAAAAACAGCATTTGAAAGACATCGTTTGATCCCAGTCTCCACTTTTTGTGTGATGCCCCTTATTAAGAGGTCTCTATGAAAGGAAATCACGTAATATCATAAATAACAAACTCAAAGTGGATAACTTCGGTCAAGGAAACAGGGAAACAAAGTCATTTACCGTAAATATGAGACACAACATATTTGCCTAAAAGTGTTTATGATAAAAATCTTGGTAAAAACATATGTTGGAAAGAAAGGTTTATCCTCTAGCTAAAATACTTCCAACAAGAGTGTATTTAGTCATTCAAAAACTTACTTTTATAATAGACCGTTATATGAGAGCCTTCATATTCAAGAGGACAAACGCAGTGAGCAAAAAACGGCGCAAATTTTGAGCTGTTTTCAAAACACGTCATTAATTTCCGTAATATCTTCGGCTTTCAATTTTTGATCTTAAATATAGGGAAATGTTTTCGGGTTAGCTCGAGCTCTCCCATTTCTCATTCTCGAGATTCTCGATGATTTCTCGACCTCCTTCGGGTTCGTGAGTCGATTCGTTAGATTCGTGTATCACGCAATTTTCTATTCTAACGAGAAAAAACCGGTTTTTTTCACTCAACCGACACAGAGGATAAACAAACGATCACTTCGACTGCAAAGAGAGGAAAATACCAGTGCCTGAAGCGACGAGTGTGTCAAACATTCCCATACAAGGTTGAAATTATCGCTGTTTAAGACGGTAAGCTATCATACTTACAGTTTGCAGCATGTGCTTTGTCGAGATATCCAATGCTAAGTTTACACACAAGGACTTGACTTCTTGACTATACAACTGATGAATGGCGTTTTTGTAGGAATTTAGTACTAATTGGTATCAAAATGTTGGTGGTGATGGACTAGTGAAACTATGGANGGTCGCAACGCTTCATGGGATTTCATGCCCAGCATGAAAACGGTCGCAACGCTTCATGGGATTTCATGCCCAGCATGAAAACGGTCGCAACGCTTCATGGGATTTCATGCCCAGCATGAAAACGGTCGCAACGCTTCATGGGATTTCATGCCCAGCATGAAAACGGTCGCAACGCTTTATGGGATGTCATGCCCAGCATGAAAATGCTCGCAAAGCTTCATGGATTTATAAATGTTCGCAATGCCTCCTGGGTATTTATGAGTCGGTATGAAAATGATYCTAGTGATGACATAAAATTGTGCATTTGCTGCATGTAAAATTTTAGCTCATGCCCTATAAACGTTTTCAAACACTTCTACCATGTCGTGTACGCTTCAACGTGATTTTTGCCGTTATACGCATGAAATATTTTGCTTCATGCTAAAAATGATGTTAGATGAACGCTCAGCHTCAATYCATGCCGGAAACGYGCATTTTTATAACTTAAAATCATATGTTTCAACGATTTTTACACCTGTGAGGCATGAATCATGCCTTTTCTATGCCAAAAAACGTTATTCATGTGTAAATGGCATGAAATCGTGCAAAATTCATGCCAACAACTGAAAATTTGCTAAAAACGGTCCTAAATTTTACTTTCCAACCCGTTCATATAGACAATTTGTGCATATATTTGGGGAGAATCATATTTTTTTCTGTCCTGTTCATTATTTACCCAATGAATAATGATCATGGTAACTCTCTTAATCATATGAAATATGTTCGAGGACGTTGCATACGTTTTCACCAAGAGACAACTCTCACCTCATGTCAACGGGTATTCACTAGATGAATGACAATAAAATAAACCCTGAACACCAAAATATCCATGGTCATGTCAAGTTTGAAACTACTCCCTCGAGAAACTCTACAGCGTCCAAGATCTATTAATACCACTGAATGCTCTGGTAAAATATTGTTATGATTTGATTTGTGACGAATTCGTTACTTTTTGTTTCTAGGAAGGGAAGCGTGATTGTAGATTTCAACCTCGAATTGGTTGCGAACGTGAGTGATCCTTTGTCTCCCTTGAAAAATGCCGTGGCACAAAGTGGAGGCAATTTGGGTGGATTGGTAATAGACCCTAGTAGTATTCAAGCAGGTTTGTAAGTTAAAACAGCGTGACTTTTCGCTGCAGAAGACACATACTGTACATACAATTTTTGCTAATTCTTGAGTAAGTTCGTGATCACACCTATGTTACTCCATCTGCTCTGACTGGCGGAAAAATTTAWTTTCRTGATATTACATTATTCGCATTGGTCACAACGACATCGACTTTACATATGGGCATAAAGGTCAACATCATCAATAGCGATAGCCAAAGGTCTCGAGTAACGAGTTAGAGTAACTCGTATTCGATTCGAGTTTCAGTCGATTTTCAGTTATAGCTAAACAGTTCTTCCTGAAAAAAGATATCCAAGCTCGAATAGTACTCTCCTAAGACTCTCAACTGAAACTAAAACTGATTATGTATTCCACCACATAAACAGCAAAGTTTTAACCCACTTCGAATAACCGGTCTTTCAACCCGCTAGATCGTGTTGTTCAACCCGTTAAGCCGAAACCGCTACAACTAGTTGTTGAAAGTCAACCAGTTATAGCGGGTCGAGAACCCGAAACTGGAAAATTTTCAAATTTTTCAATAAGTCAAATAGCCCAATGCAGGCAAATCCGCAAAAAAAGGTTGAGAGTTAATCTCAGTCTAGCGTTAATCCATTAACGTTTTAATACTCCTGGTCGAACTACCTAATATCTATTCTTGTGGAGGTATTGAACTAAGATATCTCCAAAACCAAGAGGTCAGATATCATTCTGACTAGAGCCCTGGCCTCTGCTGGTTGTCGCGAATCAAAAGATTCAGATACTTAGTCTTTCGTCACAGAAGTGTGCACATGATTAATCGAAGGTAAGTGACCTTTTAGCCTCTTTTATGTAATTAAAGGGATTTGCCCCAACACTAAGGAATTGACTTTGTTGCCTTGATTTTTGTCGACTACTCAGTGACCTTGATAATTAACTTGGTTCCTAGAGAGCAGGTAGGTTTATCTGCATTTTAATATTTTCTTATAGTTTACGGTGTCTTCACAGGTCTAACTGTAATCTTATCATTTGCAGGGAACTTCAAAAATTAGCCATTCTACTCGCCTTGGAAACGTTAGTTCTATTTAAGAAACTCTATAGTCCAGACCCAGCCCCTTTTCGAGGCTGTTAACCGAGCGGAAAGTCGAAAAGGGGCTGGGACTGGACTAGCAACTCTAGCGACTTTATCTCGTTATAATCCAGTCCCATACACTTTTTCAATGTTCAATGGAGCGGGCTAAAAAAGGGTCTGGGACTGGACTATATCTGGTTAGTATTTGCAGATGGCTTCTATTTATGACTATAGCAATTTTGGTTGTTGCAGTTAATGAAAAAGTGGTGAGGAGCACATTTAAGTGTGCCAGCTGTACATAAGAGTCAGGGCTGACAGGGCTAGTCGACAGGTCTTTAGTCTTTAACTAGACGCTCTGGGAGCGTGAAGTCGGACTAGCTGCTTGTGAAAATTGAGAAAGACAGGATATTACATGGATAAAAATATTTCTTAACTTTTTTTCCAAAACAGCCGAACTCACGGTCTAATAAGAGCGTCTAGTTCAAAATATGCAAAATTTATTGAGACTTTAAATAAACTTGACCTAAAAGGTCATGTAATTAATGCGATAAGAACGTGGCTTGCTTTGACTGATAAAATCAACTACTTAGACAAATGTCTCGCTAAGTGATATATGATATCTAAAACGTTGACCTCTCAGGCAAAGAAAAATAAAAACTTTACAAGGAAAAAGATGCCTATAAAATCATTAAATTCGCCTTTCTGTTATTGATAAACAATTAAAGTTTCTTCTTGTTCTAATTTGAAATCTTTGGCCCCACAAGACTGTCTAACACTAGAAAAGATATTGATTCAGTTTTGTAAGCATACAACTCGAAACTCTATGCGATCTGCACATGCTCGTACTTCTAATGCCTAGACAGACGCATTCCGATGAGATCACAGATACCACATTTATAAACGAATAGTTTTTTTGTCATATAAAAGCCAAGTAGCATATTACATTTACTAATGATATTCGTACATCAATACGCTTGAGCTTCCGGTCATGTAATTACACAGCCAACCCAATAGTTAATTATTAAATTCTTAACTTCCGGTGGTCCAAACGCGACATGACACATAGATAGATAGATAGATAGATTGATAGGCTAAAAGGTAAATTTAAAGTCGGACACGCCTTCGGCTTTTTTACCGAAAATTTACAGAGTACGTAAAATGTATGTAAATTTGGTGTGAATACAATTTACATAGTTTTTACATTGACGTAGTTTTTAAAGTATTCTCGAATAAAACAACTGAAATCGTCGTTCTATCTTGCCAATTTTTTTATTCTAAAACATGTAAAATATGCAAAAACCAGTCCAAAGCGAGGTGAATATATAAAATAATTTGAAAATCTAAGATGGCGGACATGAAGATCTATTGACTGGCCTAGCTGCATGTAGGATCTGATCTATCCCATATTCGACTACAACTGGATCATCAACTAATCTTTCTCTGCGACATCCGGGAAAAGGAAAGGTGAGTGAATAAAAAAAGAAGTTACTCCAAAGAATCGCTTTGATTTTTACTGTCTATAAAGTAAGCTAAAGATTATATTATTGAAGCTGATTTAGCAGTATTGTTTTGGCGGGGAACGTTTTCATTAAGATGTTAAATATCGTATGAAGATTTTTTGTAGGATTTTGTGTTGTGCTGTTCTGATGTGCAAGTCTATACATGTTTGGTGCGGGCAATGATCTAGGGTGCTTTCCATTTAGGCAGAACTGGCCGGCCAGTCCACTCTATTTAGAGGTACATAATGCTTTTTGTCAACTTTTTTCAGTCATTTCGAGGTTTTCTGTATAATTATGCTAATTCTATTGTTTTCTATTGTTTAATTAATTAATTAATTAATTTTCTAGTAAATAGTGGAAAGTGTTGCACGCCTTTAGAGTGGTTTTCATAAACCCGTGAAACAAAGTGTAATAATTAGAGTGTAATAGATCGTAATAGTCGCGTAGAGACAATAAAAAACAAAAGAGCCAAAGTGTAAATAGCGATAAATACGCTAAAGTGTGTTTCAAGGGTTAATGAAAACCACTCTAATGTTTGTACTCTATTGAGGCACCTTGAACTATTACACCGCCTGGGAAGCTAAAATGATATTCTTCAGTTAATATTAATTGCCTTCAAATGAAGTTCTCGAAATGTGTGGAGCTAGCAGATATAATCAGCCGCAGGAGCCGCAAAAAAGCAAAATGAACGTCAATAAAGCGACTAGCAATGTATTTTATTCTTGGAACACATTGACTCGTATCAGTATTCGTTCAGGTCTTAAAATGCGTACCGCCAAACTTTCATCACGTGATCTCGTAATGATTGCAAAGCGTCAAGGAATGAAAAAAAAAAAATCATAGGGTCACGCAGTGTAAACGTTTCGAAGTCAAAACAACAGTTGTATGAGGACGGTATATACTTGCGGATGAAACCTTTAGATTCCAAATAGACGAATAACGAATGGAGAGAATTCAAGTAAACGTTTTCTTTATCTGGTTTTTGGCCGGAATTTGCTGCGTACTTGGTAAGTTCTATATCGATAATCGATATCTGTTGGTTAATATCAATGACAAGTATATTCAAGTACGGTATGCAAAGTTCCAAACGAAGGCTTAAATTATAACACTATAAGAAACTTCTCTGAAATTGAAACAGCTTCTCGAACTGATTACAAAA